AGGGAGCCGATGCCCCCCGCCCCCCCCCGGCCAGCAGCACCAGAGCCGGCTCAAGTCCACGCTTCCCACCGGCGGTCAGCGCCCCGGCTCTGGTTTTACCCCCCCGAGCCCCACGGCGGGGACGGGGAGACTCATCGCTGAGGCTGACGGGGAGAGGGAGAGCCCGAGCTGGGGCACGGCGTTATTATAGAGGCCACGCCACTGCTAACGTCAGGCCAGGACCACGTCCCCGTCCCATCCCCCCCCACCGAGCCAGTCAGCGCCCCGGCTCTGGTTTTACCCCCCCGAGCCCCACGGCGGGGACGGGGAGACTCATCGCTGAGGCTGACGGGGAGAGGGAGAGCCCGAGCTGGGGCACGGCGTTATTATAGAGGCCACGCCACTGCTAACGTCAGGCCAGGACCACGTCCCCGTCCCATCCCCCCCCACCGAGCCAAGGAGGGCTGAGCCGTGTCTAAATGTAGCCGTCAGCCCGTGCCTGTCCCCCCCCCCCAGGTGTCCCGCCCCCGGCTCTCTCCCAGCGGGGACCTGGGATGGGAGCCGGGGCAATGACAGCAGGTTTTTGGAGGCTGAAAGCAGCAGCAGGGACCGTGCTGCCGCCTTCACCTTAAAGGAACTTCAAACATTTTGTTCCTGAAAGCAATTGGCATTCAGCTGGAGATAAGCGCCTCCGGCGTGTCAGAGCCGTAATTTGTATTTAGCGAAGAGAGAACGAAGCCGTTAGACAGAAACATCTTGCGATGGTGGGAGGGCTTTTTTATTTTTTTGTTTTTAAAAAAAAAAACCACGCTTTCTAGCCTGACTTGCACTCCCCGAGAGCCTTCAACTACATCTTGCAGTAAGCCAGGAACCCAGGGCTCCCTCCCTCCACGGTGCAGGGGCCGAGGCTGGGACCATGCCTATACTAAGGCATGGAAAACCTGGTGGCCGTAACCCAAGGAAGGAAAGGACGGGCGATTAATTCATTCCCCAGTCATGCCGCTGGATTTGCGGAGAGCCAGGGAGCAGGCGGAGCAGCCAGGAGGGCAGCTCCTCCGGGCAG